AACATCGGAAATGCTTTCGTCAGGTACAATAGTTATTTTAAGGATATGTTCATATGAACTTCAATCAGCCTCGAATAAATTAATGCATGTGCCCTATGGCAATCTAGTGTATTAAATGTCTTAAAAGTTGCGATGGATTATAAGAAAAAGCTTTTAAATTTTACACGGTTGATCTCTATATTTCATAGCGGAAGATCCTTTTAAGTAGTGAGTCACTACACCCAAGTGTGCATTCCAGCATGTCAACAAACATTTCGTGCACTTCAACGACAATGGTAGTAAAATGAAAAGTTCGATATTTTCCAACCTCAGCTTTCAAAACAAAGAGCTAAAACGTGAAGCCTATACATTTCTGTATTATTCGTCAAAAATAACTGCCTTAAGTCAAACAAGAACAGAGGCTTCCACCCTATGTATTAGTGGTTTAGGGTTTCTTGGGTTTGGGATACCTGTGGCATAGAGAAGGACAAAAGGGTGCAATCTTTGGATAATGCCAATCGGTTCAGGGATCTTATATTTTATATTCGTCTCCGTGGTATTTCTATTTATAGTTTATGACATAGCTCCCGCTTTGCCGTCTTGGAATAACCTATGGCAAATTTGTTTGCTTTTGTGTTTGTTTTGTTTTGTTTGTTTTTGTTTTTGTTGTTTTTTTGCGTTTTGTGTTTTTTGTTTTTGTTTGTTTGTTTGTTTGTTGTCGTTTTTTGTTTTGAATTAAAAAAACTTTACCTCAACGAATTTAAATCTCTAGTTTAGTTAATTATTATATAGAAAAGGATTATAAATCGTCGCGCTAATTTCAAGTGAGCGTAAAAAATATGACCACGATCGAACATTCTGGCAAAGGTTGCGGAATGATGACATTTTATAGAAAAAATATGTCGTCTGGGAAAATTCCGGTTTTCTCCGCTTGGACACTCTTTTTAATGGATCTTGATTAATTTTAAGACACGGAGAACTAATTGTTTTTACTGGTAGGAGTTTATTTTAAGACGGTTACAAACGTCCTCAGAAAATATTAACAAAATTAAATGATAAATTTTTCGAGGAATACTTAAGACTTGAATAAGATCATTTTTTTTACTTTGATGGCCCTTGAACTCTAGTGAATAATTTAATCTCCCACTGATTTTTCCCCCCCAAAAATGATGAGCTACGGAGTATTTTTATTAAGTTTTTGTTTCAATTCATTATTATTATCAATTCTATCTGAAATCTCTTATCTTAGACAAAGATGATTTCATATAGTTTGAAATTGCTTGTTAAACTACACCATTTCTATTATCTATTCCTTGATGGAGATTATTTCACGCATTTTCTCGTATAACTATCCTTTCTAAAACGGCTAATTTTTTACACTATGTTAAACAATGATTGTTGTCAATATTTTAACATTGCAAAACTAAACTAGCCCTAATACTTTATTACGGCTTATAAGCATGAATCTTTTGGAACCCTTAAATTAAGCCCTGGTATATAAATGATCTATATCAGGGCACGGCTARCCCTCAGATCSAATCATTAAACAACCTCTGGGCTGATCAAAGTCAGGGCTTGGCTAACTTACACTTCAATCTCTGAAACAACCTCTTGACTGGTCAATTTGTGGGCACAGTTAACACACCCTGCAACATCCGGACGTGAATAGCACAGATCATGATTAAGATTTGGCGTGTTGAGTTTTGCGGAGGCAGGAAAACCTGAGAAAAATCCTCAATCATAGCGAACCAACAACCCAAGTCTATCCATCATATTAGATGCATGTTTTTGAATCGACACCAGTTGCACATATATTGTAACTTTTCCTTTGTTCGAGGCTGACAAAAATCGATTCCCTTTCACTGTCAAACCTGCACGGACAGGTACTTTTTAGCGCGTCTAGGAAATCCCTCTTGAAAAAGGTGTACAAGAAAGGATTGATTATGCAAGTTGAAAATCTTATAATAGCGAAGGCTTCTAGCAATGGAGACAACCGTAGCATAATTGGTAGAAGTTCCAAGTTTACGGCCGTCATCGTTGCGCAAAAAGATAAAATAAACCAAGGCAACCAGCAAACGACAAACAAGACAGCCATCGTGGCGAAAACAACGATGCACTTTCGTTCATGCGAAGCACAGGCTTTTCTCCGGGAGCTGTTTTTGTCGCTTCTCATTTCTTTATTAAATCGTTTGGTTCTTGATGAAATGGCTCTGAACATGACAATCTGAGCATAGACGATAAAAATGTATGGGATAAGAAAAACGGCGATAAAGCAAAACGCGTCGTGACCAAGATGAAGATAGACACTTGTCTTTCTTGTCTGTGGGTTCCCACGCAGAATAGAGTTCCAAATGAATGGTAGAACTGMTATCACACTGGAAACAATCCAAATGAACCCAATGACGATAAATGACGTCTTTCGATTCGCGCCTCGGTGTTGAAATGGTTTGACAATCGCGATGYATTTTTCTGCAGTTACCGCGACGATGTGGTACGCCGTAAGAATGGCAGTCAGTTTACAAAGCACCTCAAAGACTTGAAGAAAATCTGTTTCAAGTTTGAAACAAAACGTAATAAAGATTGGAATATCCAACGCCCCAGTAATGAAGTCTGATACCGCAAGGCTTAATAAGACATAGTTTCCAGGAGTTCGTAATTGTTTTCTCTTGTAAAAGAGAAAAACAACAAGTCCGTTGATAAGGGCTGTCGAAATTGCCAATGGCATAAGTACAGCCATATTTTCTGTAGGATTGCAGTTTTGAACGCGATGATTCTGGCGAAACTTTAACGTCTCGTTACAAGATACATTCACACTGTTAAGATTTGGACGTAGAGTAAGATTGACTTCTGTACAGTTCATTTTGATAACCCGACACAATTGTAGTTCTTTAAGCGTTGAWAACTTCAAAGAAATGAGCGGTGAATAACATCAGTATTCGTCCGTCTTGCAGAAGCTGCGATCTGCATATAAAAGAGATCGATAAGTTCTTGGATGTGTGAATATTTATAGATTCAAATAAAGAACAATAGATTGATGGCGACTGAACAAACACCCTCTGTGAAACATGCTGTAATTAGATACCAATGACAACCATACGACATTTTGCCAAAGTAGTTTCTAAAATTAATTAGACCAAAATACCAGATCTTCTGGTCTTCTTCCTTATCAAAATATCAAAAAATTGGGTAATATAGGGAGATAGCCGTTTGTGGCGGGAGATTATGTGATAAGTATCATAAGTTGTATTGATAAAAAAGAGAAGTTACGGTTTTCACGCGTTTACTGCGATTCCCAGTCACACGCGACCAATAGACCTTCATCATAAATGAAAGTTTGAGTTTGGGTAGACATGACATTTCGAATGTATATGTGGCAGTCTTCTTCAGAATGATGAAAATTCAAGCGAAGGAAGAAGCGTTATAATTATATGATAACTTGTCCAACAATCTTGCAATAAAATTTGAATCATATTAAAACTTACTAATTACATTCCAATCCTGTTTTGTAATCACCTTAGTAATACCCAGGTCAAGTGCTTTCTAGATGGTCATTAGAAAAGATTACATAAAAAAAAGGGAAAAAATAAATATATTAAATATAGACATATGGTAAAAGTATCACGCTTGTTTGTTTATTCTTTGGTTAATTTATACGCCTAAAGTAAAGTAAAGTAAAGTAAAGTACCTATATTTAACGTCGGTAGTTCCTTCAGTTGAAATTCAACTGCTATCGATGGAAGCCGACGGTGCGCACTTTACCCCCTCTCACYMTCAGTGCTCTATTTTAAGAGTATTTAAAGCTRAAGCTACACGGATTAGAGAGAAGTCGAAACAGACGTGGAGATCCTAAGGATCGAACCGTGGACCTCAAGCTCTGAAGGTCGCGCACTAACCAACCTAAGCTACGCCTGCTCCYATAAAGAGCTACGTTTTTTCCTTAGTTTATTTGTTTATTTATCTATTCATTTATTCACCAATTTTTGCCCTCGCCTATCCCGCTCAAGACTCAGAGTTTTTTCTGTGTCTTTCAATTTGCAGCTGCRTAAGTTGCTTCATATACTGCGAGGATCAGTTCAGTTTGATACATTACAACTGCAGTACAAATATATATATCATATATAATTCTCATATATAATTCTCATACACATATTATATATAGTCTTTATACAACCAACACTTGACATATCTTTGCGATTTCCTTTTTTCTAAAAATCAGCTAAATTAAGCACCAAACTTGCAGAAAGAAAGAAAGAAAGATTTCAAATTCATGTTTATTCATACACAGAGGTACAATGAGTTAAGATTTTTTWAAAAATCTTCACATGCCGTGTGAAAACGAAAAACGAAATAATGAATGAAATATAAGAAAGATGGAGGAATAAATGAGTGAATGACCGAACGAAAGTAAGAAAGAGAAATACAGTAGAAAGTGAATGAGGAGAAATAAAAATGAAAATATTCTTGATAAAAAACGAATATTTTTCACTTGCGTTGGAAATCACTTAAGAGCGAGTCCACCTGAAACCATGCAATGCTGAAAAATGTGTCTACATGGRGTATCTCCGATTMTCTTGATATTTTGCACAGTTATGTACTTTGATGTGATTATTAAATGTGTGGAATATCAGACGAAAAGTTCTAAAACGCCGAGAAGATATGGACGTCGAATGAATCATGCCCAGACAAAWTATGCAAATTACTTGAAATTAGAGCGAAATTCACAATAACAGTTCTCTAAAACTACAGCTCTTTTCGARATGGAAACTTATACAAGTGTAGTATATCTATTGAACACTACGATGAAGGTAGCAAACTATCATTGCAATTCGAAACATAATAATTAAGGTAATTTACGATTAAGTCGTTGGAACCGAGATTTAAAACAGGTATTTTTGGCCTCGGAAATAAACATCGTATATTCTAGCTGCGGCGGGCTTCTAAAAGTACTCAGTTATAGATAATGGGAAACAAGTGCACGAAAAAAATATTTTTGTAAAGTATTGATTGTGAATCATGAGAGCACCGCAAATTGCGTGATTTAGAGATTGTCTTATATGACGAGCTAATGGCTTATTACAACAAACTAAGATAACTCATCAAATGAAAAACTATGGCAAGCCAGTAGTAAATAAAGGARAACAATCTAGAAGAAGTCAGATATTTAGCTCTACTACTTACTGTTTGCGAAAGAATGATACAACATAAACAAAGTCAAAAAGCCATACACCAAAATRCAGTACACATTGATTGATCTGGACGTCTTTAGATTCAACAGATCAAAAACAGTTTTCCGTGTTTGATACTCTGATCAAAACACGTGGGATGTTGAGAGAACACGAGAGGAGCGTAGGAAACCACGACGCGTAGCGGAAAGCAAAGTCTAAGTAAATTCTCCCTACGTGCAGTCTTATTCAAACTGACCAATGAGCGCACGCGATAGATTAAAAATGACGGTAGCGTGTTTTGATACTCTCATCAAACATGGTTTTCGACCAATCATAGCGCGAGTAATATCCCAATTATTTTATAATTACCAGATCAAAAACAGTTTTCCGTGTTTGATACTCTGATCAAAACACGCGGGATGTTGAGAGAACACGAGAGGAGCGTAGGAAACCACGACGCGTAGCGGAGTGGTTTCCAGCTTCTCGAGTGTTCTCCCAACATCCCGCGTGTTTTGATCAGAGTATCAAACACAGAAAACTATTTTTGATTTGTTTTATAARATAACAAACWCGCGAAAAGATCGAAAAAAAACAAAGTCTAAGTAAATTCTCCTTACGTGCACATTCGAAGCAAGAAGTCTATGAGAAGTCTATAAGATGTATTATTATATGACTGTGAATCTTAGAGCCTGGACACTAGCAAATCGAGCAATCTGATTGGATAGATCGCGGACTGGTCTAGATTATCCGGTATTAACCGGTCCGATCGCATATTAATCTTACGGCGAAAACATTTTGTCCTTTTCAATGAAAAGTGGTCATATAATAAAACTCTTATCAACCGAGCTCGGTCAGTCTGTACGGGACAATCTTGACCTCGGTCAGGTACAGACCTCGGTCAAGATTATCCCGTACAGACCTCCCGCTCGGTTAATAAGATCTAATTAAAGAAATCTAAAAAAATAWTATAGGATCTTAAAATTTTCCAAGTTCGTCGTGATTAGATGAACAAGCTGGATCATGTAATAGTGATGATGATAAAGTTAGCATTTACCGAGTTAAAAGAAATTCCGCGCAACCAATCAGAGACAACTATTCTCACGCCTGAAATGAACAAGATATTTTGATTTCGATCCTGATCGATCGTATCAGATAAAWATATTAAAATGTTAAAGTATTTTTGAGTTTGGTTTATCGTATGTGAGCRTAGTTTTGTTTATAGCAACATAAAGTTAAGTGGATGTCGAACGAATAAGGGGATTTCTTCMTCGCTTGCGATCGGAATGAATTCGGCCCGTCGTAACTTGATTAACTGAAGTTATACGCCTAGGTCGCATTATTTTGATAATAGGTGTATTAAAGGCGATTTTAAAAGTCACAATATTGTTTTCTTTACAACAAAAATGCAATTAGATCACAGAGATATAAATTCGAAATTAAGATGAAATTGTATAAAAAGCATCGATCTTCACATGTTCTATTTTTACCCAAATTAGCCAGCAAAACAAAGTGCCTTATATTTGAGTCAACGAGCACAGAATATATATATATGTAAACAACAAATCTAAATTGTGAACTTGTATTTACTATTCTTACAAGGTAAACTGGGTTTTTATACATTATATTATGGCCTAAGTCTACGCCGTTTTTTGTTTGAAAATATCGTCATGGACGTATTGTTGGGTCACGTGACACCTTCTAACAAGCGAAATTTCATCTATTTGAGATGTAATTTTTCCTAGAGAAATGAAACTTTTACAAAGATTTTTTTGCTAAACAGGTTGCCCTATCATTGATATATCTGTGATAGCTTTCGAAGTCAAAGGAAATGAAGCCGCATATTTGAACATAGCTCCTTTCTAATCTATATTTTTATAAGCTTGAAAACAACTCCATAATTCAAAAATCTACAGATCTATCAAAATTTAAATACTTAAGTTTTTATTTACTTTAAAATGCCTATAAAGTCACAAGTCAGTCGTGGACAAGATATGAATTCTCTATCTAAAATGTAGAGAAAATACGAGACCCTCAAACTTCAGGAAAAGTTTATGCTAATTTTGGCCGTTTTGAGGGTAAAACATTCAAACAACTGTAACTCCAACGCTTTTTACGCTAAGGTCAAACAACTTTGCTTGAGTAGTAAGCTCATCAAGATGTACAAACAAGCTAAGTTTAAAGAAAATCGGTGAGGTACCATTACATGTAGACCTGCCTGCATGGTTTTCACACGGACTCGCTCTTAA